TTCGCCCCATTCGATTCGATTAACCACGATTTTCGATTTTAACAGTTCGAATTGCCATATGAGACACAAAAACGCACCAAAAAATGGTGCAAAATGTCTCAAATGTGGTACCAAACTTTTGGACCATTTGATGCAACACTATTCATTTTACACTGTTTTGAACCAAATGGTGCATAGTCAATTTTACCCTTTATTTTCATTTTTTAAACAAATTGATTAAGGGTATTTGTATCATTTGTGTTATGTATTTTTTAATACAATAAATTATTATTATGTACATTTATAATAAGTTTTAATAATGTAAAAAATAATGGTTAATAAATTAATTAAAATAAGAACACAATTTTTTTTAAAAAAAATATAACAAACACGATTAATTGTACTCCATTTTTTATATTTATTAATGAATTTTAATTTTCACGAATTTAACGTAATTATTTATTTAGTAATTTATGTAGTTGTAAAATGAATAAAGAAATAATTTTCAATTAAATAAATTATTATTAATAAAAAATGAAGAAAATGATTAAACATTGTTCATTTGGTGTAAGTTTGGCTTAATTGTTGGGGATAATTTTTATTTTGATGCAATATTTAGTGTAAAATGATGCAAAACTTACCTTAGCCCCTGTTTGGTGCACATTTTAAGTTCAAGAATGTATTTTTTTGTTTGATGTAATGGGGAATATGTGTTTGAAAAAGAAGGAAAATTTATTGATGTGACGAAAAATATTATTTTATTAAAGAATGTGTGATTGAAAATGAGTAGAAGAATGAAAATAAAAAAATAATATTGCTCAAACAAGGGCTTAAATTTTGGTGCAGAGTTGGGGAAGGTCTAATGTCTCTAATCCATAATATTTCTGTGTAGACTGGAATCAATTATTAACATTAATAGGCACAACCCTAACCTTAATTAATGTCCTCGTTTATGTCATTAAGCCATAACATTTATTCTTAGTTGTGCAAATGATGATTACCGTATTTGCTTAGCCCATATTTGGATGACATTAAAATTTTCATTCTCATTCTTTTACTCATTTTCAATCAAACATTTTTCAATAAAATAATATTTTTCATCACATCAATAATTTTTCCTTCTTTTTCAACCACACATTTTCCAGCACATCACTATTTAAAAATCAATTCTTCACCCAAAAAATATCAACCGCACANTACTCATTTTCAATCAAACATTTTTCAATAAAATAATATTTTCCATCACATCAATAACTTTTCCTTCTTTTCAACCACACATTCTCCATCAATTTACTATTCCAAAATACATTCTTCCAAAATAAGGAGGCTCAAACACACCCTTAAAAGCATTGTATTTGGTAACGTTACGGTCTATTTGATTGAGTTTTTACTTCTGCTTCAGTTTTTTGTAGAAAAACTTTTTGAAAAAGTTACTTTATATCAACTTTCTCTAAAAACTCTTACAGTCAGACAAAATACTTCTAAAAAATTATTCAAATATGTTGAAAAGCAACTTTCTAATCCCAAAAATATCTCTGACATTTCAAAAGTACAATTAAATGAGCCCTAAATCTTCTTAGTGATGACTTGATTAATTATATGACGGAACATTGGGATAGAAAGATGAGTCTCATTATTTCTTCCGTCAACTTTTAAAGCTAATATTTTTTTTGATCGGTAAATTTAAATTACTATAGATCAAAACTCATGTACAAGTACACAGGACATACTCGGACGAACAAGAAATAGATGAAATACAATTACTCCGGACATACCCCAGCTAATCAAAAGAAGAGATGTACAAACGATATGAACTATAGTCTCAAAGCCAAAGACTCAGAATGATTCAAAACA